GCTTGATCCCCAGTAGGGGGTGTGCAGGAGGCAGCTGATTGATGATTCTCTCTCATTGATGTTTCTATGTCTCTATTCCTCTCCCTAATCTATTTTGAAATGTGTCTGCTGGGAAGCGGTACACTCCTGAACCCTGTCTAGAGGAGGTGATCACGAAAAGGGGTCCAACTGGAACCAGGATGCCACCGAGGAAATTGGTCCTGAGGAAGCGCTGCCTTGGAAACAGCGGGAGAAAGCACTCACAGACTCCAGCTGGCTGGAGTGCACTCCATCCCAGGCACCCCCTCTGGCTCTCAAACACTCGCTGGCACTCGACCGTATCTTAGGCACTCCCTGTACCCCCCACACTGCCTGCACCAGGACGGAGACATCTCATCCAGGTCTCTCTTCCCCATTGACCCAAGACCCCTCAAAAGGTGTATGGAAAGGGGATAAGTAATTTGTCTCCAGTTCTCTCCTCACCTCTTAGCCAAACATCTGCTCTGCCCCTCACATACTGGCCTTAAGGCAGAATGGAAATGTTGCTTCAGGTCTACCACGTTTTTCCTCAGGCCCCCCTCAACTCCTTAATGGCTGATTCAACCAGGATAGGCAATCTGCCTCCAGCTCTCTCCTCATCCCTCACCCCAGGATTCCCTCACATTACAGAGGACATATGTGGATAGATGCCAAGAATACAGATCCCTAGTATAAAGGGATAACTGAGCTCAAATTCAGAACAACAATAGAAAAAGAAAAAAAAGGCAAACCAGAGCCTCATGTCCATTTGTACACAAGGGTTTCTAATACAAATCTTAATTCAGAGAAGAAACTTGCAGCTTCCTCCCACATTGAACTGACTGATGAGACATGTAGACTGAGCAAGGAGGAGAAGGCAAGACCAGAAGAGAACACAACGGGAGCAGAGCGGAGTGGCCCAAGGGAATTCACTCAGGTCAGCCTGAACCCAGCCCAGCCATGACGCTTCACTCCAGCAGCAGCACAGCAGGCCTGCTCCCACATGCTGCTCCTGTAGCAACACTGAGCTGCTCAGCAGCCACGCCGTCACCCCAGATGCTGAGCTAGCCCAGCTGCTGGAGTCCTAGTGGAAGTTTACACATCGAAGGTCACTGGCCAGCCTCACTAATGGAGACCTTAATAGGAGGGAGATGTTTGTTGTCCCTGCCAGTGACATCAATGAAGGCCTCCTTTGCACACAGACTTTTCTGGAACTTGTATGAGACACATAAAAAAAAAAAAAAAAAAACAACAACAAAACAAAAGAAACCGCAAATAAAGTCACACACTTGGTTCCTTTAAGCATATTTAATATTTGAACTCTCATTTTCTATTTTCCCAGACCCCAGAAAAGACAGTTTTTAGCTGACCAGTATTTTGTTCCAGAAACATACAGCCTTATCAGCTAATTCATAAAAGAGCTATTTTACAAAGGTACATCTGGATAATTAGAACAATAAAGCCTTTTGGGTATTTCAAAATATGAGTAAAAAATACATGATTATTAATAGTCTTTTTGAAGATAGTTGCCATTTTTACAAAGTGATTTCTATTAAAGAGCACAAGACTGTGTGGTGAACGAGGGAAGGGTTCTGGCAGGAAGAGGTGTGTTACCCACCACCCAGTGGGCACATCCCAGGGGGCTTTGCAGCCCAGCCACGCAGGTGTGGCACTGGAAGGGCAGGCAGAGCTTCCTTCTAGGAGTCCATTTCCCAAACCAGCTTATTATCAAACTGGCAGGACCAGTGCGGAAAGCATAGGAATGAAGTAAAGGAAGTCTTTTCTTTAACAATTTTGCAGAATATTTTGAAAAGGGGTTGAAAAATCAGAAAAAAACCACAATTTACAAAACAAAAACTGTCCTATTAGAGACAGAGGGGATGGAGGCTCTGCTCCTGATCTGCTGTAGGCCCTCATACTCGGTTCTCAACGGGCCATAGTGCCCTCCAGGGAGAATGCTGGCAGAGCCTAGCAGCTCAAGGACACCACTGCTTTCAGAGGCGCTTCCGCCCCAATGCAGAAGCTCCCGCCGCACTTACCAACGCCAAGAAAAAGGGACAAAGAGAAAACCCAGAGAACGCATTTCTTTAGCTTCTGAAAATAAAGATTCTTCTCCTCCACTGTCACATTAGTTCCCCTCTCCCCCCCAAAATAAAACTCTTTCCCCTGTGTCTAAACCGTGTTTATTATACTGTATGGGAGGTGCATTTGTGTGGACCCAAGCACCAGGAGGTCAGGGCCTATGCCCAGGTTGCGGGCTCGACCCCTAGTAGGGAACGTGCCGGAGGAAGCTGATCAATGTTTCTCACTGATATTTCTCTTTCTCTATCCCCCCCCTCCCCTCTTTAAAAATCAGTAAAAAAAAAACTTATGAAATGTGACTCCCATGCAGTGTAGTTTCAAAAAGCCAAGGTAAGTCAGGCAGCCCAGGGAAGCTGATATCAAGGTACACATACGTCGCTTCTCGGGCAGTGGTCAGCACTTTAAAGCACCCGAGAGCCCAGTAGGTGTCTGGCTAACTGTCCTCTCCTACTTCATGAGCCTCAGGAGGGAGCACACACCGCAGCTGCTCCCACCGAGAGCCAGCTCTCTGCTCCTGGAAAGCACTCCGCGTCCCCCCCCCCCCCCCCCCGGGCTTTTCCGTGTGGAAGTGCTTCCAACCTCCTCACTGAGAAAGTGACTGATGGTAACTGAGCCGTTTCCACTGGAGGGCAGGATGCAGTCCATCAGCCTGAAAGTTAGGTCTAACGGTCCAGGAAAGCAGACGTGATGAGAACGGCCAGTACACAGTGGGAGGTGTGGGAGGCCAGGCTGGAGAAGGGGAGGGAGGTCAGTGGGAAAGACAGAAAGAACACTCAAAATGTGGGATCTTGGCAAAATCAGACTTCATTTGGGGGCTTTGTTTGAAAATCTAGACACACATTTATTTGGAAGCACTAGAGCTGTGGTCCAAGCGTTTTCCTCGTTAGCTGTTACTGTTCCAAGGAAAGGTTAAACTGCAGGAAAGAAAAGCAAACAGTTGCCAAGGACCAGGCATTGGCTGAGCCAGAGGAGAAATGAGAATGCTGCGACCCCAGCAAGCTTCCTCCGTGAGCGCCAGTGGAGGACCAGGGCCTGGAGTGTCTCAGTGAGACCAGTTCTCGGTACCTTTCTCCTGATGCCTGCTGCGGGCGGTCAGAGGGAGGGAACCTCTGAGCTGAGGGAGCGCCATGTAGCTATCTAGTTGCTACTCGCTTCTCTTAAGTGATCAGAAGGTTCAAGCTCCACTTATATATTAGCTTCTGCTTCTAAAATTTAAATCCCACTCTGATTTAATTTATACTTGGTCTATGACCCAAAAATAATTATAATTTATAAACGAGGGTCCAGCAGTACAGCTGTTCGTACAGCTGTTCAGTTTACTAAAAACAGAGGTCAGTTTTGGAAAGACGGAGGCCGGAGCTGACAGCGGCGAACTGGCTGTGTGGTGCTCGTCACAGAGCTGGAACCCTCCTATGTGTGATGAGTGCGTGTGACTGGGCTGCAGGGGGAGAAGGGCACATTGGAGACCCCCCTCCCCCCCGCCGCCAGGAGGCAATGCTGGAGGACGAGAGCAGCGGGTGAACTCCTTGCATATGTACAGAATTCTAAAATTTGACAAATAATTTCCTTTTAGTTGGCAAAACTACTCCAAAACATACATACCTGATGCACAAAGGAATCACAGAAGACCATGTAACTAAAGGAGCTCTTGAGCCACTGCTCTGGTCCTCTGTTCTCTGTGGGGTGCTGTCAACACTGCTGGCCATCCCGGGCCGGCGTCCCCCGGTCACTGGCAGGGCCAGTGCGCTCGGCCTGCATCCATGAGGCAGCAGGCAGGCACCAGCGGGGAGAAGAGCCAGAGGGAGCAGGTCCAGGCAGCTCTGCTCCCCGCCCTCCTCCACTCCTCTTGGCTCTCCTTTCCACTCAGCCCTTTGGCACCATCCGTGCAAACGTCAGAGTCAAACCTCCAGGCACTGAAGTATCACTGGCCACAGGGGCAGCAGTGCCTGTGCCTAGTGGCAGCCACTTCAACTCAGGAGGGACTCCCTGCAGACCTTCCCAAACTCCTTCGGCTGCTGCCACCCCGCCCTCCCCAGACCCCAACCCTGCCATCTGAGGCATCTCCACTTGTTTTGCTTTTATTTCCTGCTCAATCTGCAGGAGCAATTGTACACACGTGCTGAAGTCTAATGTAAATTATAAAAATGAAGCATATTAAGGAAAACAAATTTATAGTCAAGAAAATGAAATTTGCTTTCCTTTCCCTCCCAAATCCCAACCCTCAACGGAGAAGAAAACATGCCCATTTCCAAGTGGCTGCCATGTAGCACATGAGGCTCGGGTTCACGGCGATCCCAGCAGGAGGGCAGTGCTGGCCTTGGAGCGGGGAGCCCTGGCTCTGCCCCCCGGGGAGCACAGGGCACAGTCGCCTCTGCCTCGAGGCCAGAAGGGAGCAGCCAGGGGCAGCAGAGGCTGTGACACAGGAGAAGGCTGGCTGCTCCCCAGGCTGCTCTCTCCTCTCCGCCTGGCCTCCTGCCACCTGCTCCTGAGCTCTCTGCCTCAGGAGCCGTTGGTTTTTGGTGAACTAAATATAGAGGGACAAAGTCTCACTACTTAATTAAAACACAGCAAAAGAGAAATTAAAATGTGCTTTCAAATGTGGAATGAAGTCAAATAAATACATCTGATTTTCTCCTTTTCTTAAGTCTAAATAAAATGTCATACCCCACACACCCGAGCTCTATGCATTTGGTTTTTGTTATGAATAAAAATAAATTCCTGGTCGTGAGGCGCAGAGTGCGGAGCAGAGTTCCCTCGCGGACAGCAGGGCAGCTGCTGATTGGGAAGGGCAGTCCTGCTCTGGGCCGGGGGCAGGCCAGCCCCGAAGTTTCCCAGGCAGACCCTCTGCCACTCTCTCTCCGCTCACACGAGGCCAGGATGTGCTGATGCTCACACTCCAACCACCTCCAGGACGCGCAGCTCTAGCCGTTGTCTGGAAGAATAAGGACATCATGGGCCTAAGTGAGAAGAAAGGGCACATGGGCATCTGGAGAACACCGTGAATGCCGAGGCCAGGGTCCGTCTCTGCTTCTGGACCAGAACAGCCTCATCCAGAGCCAATGGCACAGACTGCTGTGCTGAGCTCAGCACCACCTGCAGCCACGGAGTCCAAGAGAGACCGGGAGGGCCCGGTGAGGGCCCACACGCAGGCGGCCCCTGGGCACGGGTCAGCAGCCCTCCCTCTGCCTCCCGCTGTGCAAAGGGGAGAGGGATGATCTTTGATGTTTGGAAACATTTTAAAATATTTATTTATGCATGCATTTCATGTATTTGTTCAAGCAGGATAATTCCAGAGTCTGGAATCTGCAGCTTTCACATACCTGAATGTTTGTCTGTGAGGGCTGACCCAGCCAGCCTTTGGCAAATAATGGTGTAACTTTCCTCCACCTTCTGTAAAATAAAAGCATCGGTTTTTCATTTGAACATCATAAAAACGTATTTTTAAAAATAAGAAAAATGTTTTTTAATTACAGGTATACTTCCAAATTGCAACATAAACATAATTAAAATTTTATTAGTGGAGGAAAACTTGTAAATTTCACTCCTTTTGCCCTTTTCCATCTTGAATGAGGGACTTAACATTTCGCCCGTGAGAAGAAAGCAGAGGAGAGCAGCTGGGAGACCCCTCAGGGAGAGCCACCGGGCACACGCCTCTCAGAGATGCCCTTCGGCAGCCCAGGACGCTGCGTGTGAACAAGGCAAACACGTCCCCAGAGCCCCTCTGCCCGGCCAGAGGGAGCAGCGGGGCTGCAGACGTAAACGCCAATAAAGAAAGCTCTTTCCTCAGAAGCCTGAGGCAGTCAGGCTGGCCAGGGCCAGGACAGAGGTGACATGGTCACTCAGTTCACCAAGCCCCCACGCTGAACTGACTCACAAGAGCCACAGGGCCAACTCATCCCCACAGCACCGGGCGAACACGTCCCGGCCTCCCCTCCAAGGACACAAGCCCTTTATCCAGCTCTCTGTTCCCGCCTCGCATGGTGGTCAGCCAGTCCCCTCACACTCATCCGGCCTCACGCCTAGAGCCCGTGCAAACACAGCTCCCAGGGCTCCAGCGCTTCCTGTCGCTGTGCTTTGTAACCAGATAAACAATGCTGATCTCTGCCTCTTCCCAGGCCTTTGCATGGACAGTGGTCAAAGAAAACACACATTTAGAACGCAACAAGTTTGCTGACACCAGTGCTTCAATCACTCTGCATTCCCTGCTGGTCCACGTGCTGCCTCCCACCGAGTCCTGAGGGGCCGGGCCCACGTACCTTTAAGTGCTCCAGGGCAGCCTCTATCTTGCGGATGCACTCCAGGACCTGGCCCGGGGAGTCTGCACACGCGAAGGGGCTCTGGATCTCCACGCAGGCCCCCTCCAGAGCTCCCCAGCGCTGCGGGGTGAATGGTGACACTGCCCCGTCAGAAAGAGCCTTCTGGGAAGAGGGCCGCTGTTGCTGGGCAGGGTCCGTGGTGGGCAGGACCGCTGCGGAATGCGGGGGGAGCCAGACGGCACCCTCCTCATCGGTGGAGCTCTCCTGCACAGCTTCATAGCCAGCGAGGATCAGATAGTTTCCTACACACAGAGACAGGGCTGTGAGGCTGGAGGGCCATCCCATGTCAGGAAACGGGGCGGTTGATATGGTGACAGCTTTAAAAGCGATTAAAGATGGTCAATTCGGGAAAGCCATTAATTCCCGAATCCCCATATTTAAAGCACAACTTAATGTTCTCCCTTTGGTTCCAGGGACACTTAGCAAACTTTCATGGTACTTTCTGAATAATTCATAGGAGCTAGCATTTGAAAAGTTAAAAGCTGAAAACTACAATGTTCCTCTACAATCTTGCCACCACTTCCCTCGCTACATGACCCCCCATCTCCCACCGTTTCCCTCCCTGCCCCCACCTACTCCTCAACCCCAAGCTGGAGCTCGCTGCACAGCTGTGCCTCCTCCAGCTGGACTCTGCCCCAGACACCGAGCTGCTTTCAAGGTCTCGGCTCCGATGCAGCCTTAGCAGAGGCCTCTTCCCTGGTCACTTACCTTCCCCTTACTCTGGGATCTTCTTCTCACTCTATTTATTTGCTTACTTATTTATCACTAGTATTTATCACTAGGCCCAGTGAATTGATTCGTGCACACTGAATGGAAATTAATTATTAGAAATGTTTTAAGATCGCTATTCACCTATTCTCTAAAATAGAAGCGTCAGAAATGAAAGAAAATTAGTAAAATGTATATGAAAATCTACATTAATAAAAGAGAAACAGCCAGGACCGGTTTGGCTCAATGGATAGAGCGTTGGCTTGGGGATTGAAGGGTCCCAGGTTCGATTCTGGTCAGGAGCATGTACCTTGGTTGTGGGTATATCCCCAGGAGGGGGTGTGCAAGAGGCAGCTGATCGATGACTCTCTCTCATCGATGTTTCTAACTCTCTATCTCTCTCCCTTCCTCTCTGTACAAAATCAATAAAATATATTTTAAAAAAAAAGAGAAACAGCAAATTGACCATCCCTCCGCTACACCCACCAGCCAGGAGCAAGTATGCAAATTAACCCAACAAAGATGGCGGTTAGCACAGAAGGAAGCCAAGTGCTGCAGAAGGGAGAAAAGCAGCAGAGAAGGGAGGGAGTGAGGCAGCGGAGACGGGAGTAAAGCCCGCTCCTTTCTCTGCTTCACTCTGGCTGCAGGAAGCCCTATTCTTGCAGGAATCTTCCTGCAATGGGCCTCTAGTAATATATAAGTTGATTAATTAATAACATGATAATACAACAAAGACATGATATAAAAACAATAAAAACATGATATATAAATAACTTTCATTATAACAATGGCTAATAAATAGATTAAGTTTATTCTAATATCTAACTGTATACCACATTAAGAGTGAAAACACTTTCAGAAAGCTTGACTAATTTCCTTTGTGATGAAGTATTTACAACTTTAATGTCACACACTCTTTGAACTCGGGAGAAAGCACCATAAAATGACCATGTCCGAAAATACTTTCTGGTAGAAATATTCCTACTCTGTCTAAAGTTTGTCCTTGTGATTTATTAACAGTCATTGCAAATGCTGGCATCACGGGAAACTGTCTTTGAATTAATTTAAATGGGAAGCCAGTGTCAGATGGGGACAAATCAGTTCTTGGAATCAGAACAACCTCTCCCCCTGCAGATCCTGTTAGTAAGTACTTCAGCTTCGATAATGTTAGGTCAAAATCTTGTGATAATAGATCTAGTGCCATTACAAAGACCGCATTCACTTATTAAGATCTCTCAGTAGCATGAATGATTGCACCCACTTTCAATTTTAATTTATGACAAGGAAGAATTTGATAGAAAAATTTTCCTTCCGGCATCATCCACTGAATAAGTGGAATCATCACTCAAACAGGCGTGGAATCTCCATCGAGTATTTCCAAAATCTCTTCACTTTAGTTTATGAACACGCTCATTTTTAGTTCAAAGAATCGCATGTTGAGGTATAGTTTAAATATTAGCTATAGATATGCTATTTCCAAAGGTAGCTTCAATAATAATCTGTTACAAATCATTTCACAGGGGATTTTAATAATACCCATTCAGAGAGCTTTACATGTATCACGCATGCGTGAGTCAACATTTATTTTGAATTGCCAGTGTGCATCATGTGTACTGGCTAGTTGGTTGGTCAGAAGGTCAGACAGATGGTCAGTTGGTCACTTAGCCTTTTATTATTTTATTTTTTAAAATAGATTTTTATTGATTTCAGAGTGTAAGAGAGAGGGAGAGAGAGAAACATCAATGATTAGAGAGAATCATTGATTGGATGCTTCCTACATGCCCCCCACTGGGGATTGAGCCCACAACCCGGGCATGTGCCCCTGACCAGAATTAAACCCAAGACCCTCCAGTCCACAGGCTGGTTTGGCTCTATCCACTGAGCCAAACCAGCAAGGGAGCCTTTTATATACATACTAGAGGCCTGGTGCATGACATTCGTGCACGTGGGGGTGGGCAGGTCCTTCAGTTTGGCCTTGCCCTTTCACAGTCCAGGAGTCCTTGAAGGATGTCAGCAGTCAGACCTCCTTAACCGCAGGGGTGGAAGAGGCTCCTGCCACTGCTGCTGCACTTGCCAGCCATCAGGCTGACTTCTGGCTGAGCGCCACTCCCCCATGGGAGCGCACTGACCTCCAGGGGCAGCTCCCCCTGGTGGTCAGTGCGCATCATAGTGACCGGTCGTTCTGCCATTCAGTCAATTCTATTATATAGGATAGATTATATAATAGAATTGACTGAACTAGCACCCCAACTAGCACCTAAGCTTCAGGAAAAGAGTTGATTTTTGTTTATTCAATGCTCTATCTCCTAGCACTAGAGTAGATTCAAGAATTATTTAGTGTGATAAAGAATAAGTAACACACACACACACACACACACACACACAATGCTTGCAAACCCAAACACCATCCGTTTCACCACACAGGACAGTAACAGCAATCAACATCAAAGTGTCCATGTGAGAACTTGCCTGAGATGTGTACGTTAATGTCCTTCTCTTCCTGTTTAACTGCTCCCTCACCTTCGGATGGATTATCATCACTGTGTACTTCATGAGCATCAAAAAAGTGCTCCCCACTCTCATCAACACTGCCTTCTGGCTCTGCAGGAGGAGCCTCCAGGGGCACAGGCGTGTGGCCCATCACTGCACTGCTACCTGCCTGGCCCTGCTGGAATGCCAGGAGCACAGGATCCTGAGGAGCAGGAGAGTCCGCTGAGGCCGGTGGACTGCTGCATGCTGAAAGGCTACCTGCTCCAGCTCTCAAGGGCATCTGTCTTTCACCGGGACAGGCCTTCATCACTCCAAAGTTCTGGGTTCCACTGTCTGCCTGCACCCATGGGAAGGCTGTCCTGTATCTTGAAAAATGTGGCCAATCTTCCTGAGTGCTCTTCTCAGCCGGACTCAGCTTCTGTGCCAGCAACTGCTTCAACAAGCCCACTGCAAGATAAAGGGGCGAGGGAAAGGCATATTCACACTGAAATCTCAGACTAAAACCAAAACTAAGTAGTGCCATTAGCACTTTCTAAAAGTAAGCACCTTTTTTAGTAGCATAGAGTCAAATGTTAATTTCATATAATTATTTTTATTTTTTGAAATAAAGCAATATAATATTAAACTAGACTAGGAAAATCTAGAAATTTGTAATGGGAGGTGCTCCTAGTTAGAACTGCTAAGTAGCCAATACTATGTCCTCTTCTATTTTTTCTTTCATATACTAGTAACTGGAATAAGATCCATTGATGCTGAGAAACTTTGGTAAGCTAGACAACAAAAACTCCGAAAGTTCTGTTTTTCCAGAAACAGACACTATACACATAGGCATTATTTTTTCTAATTTTATTAAACACAAAGAACATTTATTTGATCATTTACTAGAGGCCTGGTGCACGGATTTGTCCACTGGTGGGGTCCCTCGGCCTGGCTTGTGGGGACTGGGCCGAAACCAGCTCTGACATTCCCCGAGGGGTCCCCCACTGCGAGAGGGTGAGGGAGGGACCGTGGGAGGTTGGCTGGATGGGAAGGGACTGTGGGAGGACTCCAGGGCGTGTCTGCCCCATCTCACCCAGTCCTGACTGGTCAGATCTTAGCAGCAAGCTAACCTACCAGTAGGAGCATTTGCCCCCTGGTGGTCAATGCTCGGCATCATAGTGACTGGTCGAAGGGTCAACCAGTCGGACACTTAGCATATTAGGCTTTTATCATACAGGACCAGTGACTCGGTGCATGAAATTGGTGTACTCTGGGATAGGGGCGTCTCTCAGCCTGATCTGTGCTCTGACACAGAGATAAATCGCCCCAAAGAGGTAGGGCCCGCCCACCCATCCAGGGCTCCTCGATGAATTTCCTCAAAGAGATAGGCTGGAGCTGGGGGAGGCCTGCCGATTCCTGGGCTGGGCCGCAGCGGAGGCCTTCAGATCCCCAGAGCAGGTGCTTGGAGGCCTGCGGACCTCCGCGGGCCTGCAGACCTGTCCTCAAGTCCACAGCAGAGAGTCCTCTCTGTCACCTGTGGAGCCCAGGGGCAGGCGTGCGGAGAGGCCTCTCTGCCGTGGCCCTGCCCCTGCCCCGACACTGCAAGTCCCCGCCCACTCGTGCCTGCCGCACACACAGCCTACTGCCCAATCCTTACTGTGATGGTGTCCCAACCAATTTGCATATTACCCTACTATTAGGATAGACTAGAGGCTCAGTGCACAAATTTGTGCATGGGTGGAGTCCAGCCAGCCCACCAAGATAAAGGCCGTTCGGGCCGGACTGGCCAGAGGGAAGAGCCACAGGAAGTTGGCAGGCCATCCCCGCCCCCTGGTCGAACTCTAGTCGAACTCCTGGTTGAGGAGACAATTTGCATATTACCCTTTTATTATATAGGATAATAACCTAAAGGCTTTCCTTAAGTGGTAAAGAAGAAAATAAACTTCCCTATAAAAATATTTAATTCTAATGATTTATCAGTGTGTATAATTTCAAAAGGGAATAGTAATTAGTTTTTTTTTAAATGACCTTATTCATGGCACAGCTTTCTTAGGTTGTTAAAAAAAAAAAAAAAAAGAAGAAGCAATATACTAGAATAGGCAAATGTATGCTATAAGGCCCCTCATACAATGACAGTTACTGGGACAAGGTTGGTCAAACCATCAGAAATCTTTATAGTACTTATAAATGCCTGACCACTAGGTTGTATACCTGAAATTAATATAATATTGAATGTAAAATATAATTGAAAAAACATTTTTTTAAAGAGGTCATTACCAGTGTTCATTCAGGAGAATATAAATTAATCAGGTGTGAATAAGCTAGACCAATGCCCCACTTGCAGCTCTGGCTTAGTTTCTACTTCTTGTTCCTGCCCAGAGGCTGAGCCTGACCTTGTAGTGCCATTAGCACTTTCTAAAAGTAAGCATCTTTTGGCTTCACAGGAGAGTTTTATCAAACATTCAAGGAAGAACCCATCCTCCTCAGATTACTCCAAAAAATCCAAGAGGAAGGAACACTTCCAAACTCCTTCTATGAAGCCAGCATCACCCTAATACCAAAACCAGACAAAGACAACTCAATGAAAGAGAATTACAGGCCAATATCCCTCATGAACATAGATGCCGAAATCCTCAACAAAATTCTAGCAAATCGACTCCAGAAGAACATCACAAAGATCATACACCATGACCAAGCAGGATTTATTCCAGGAATGCAAGGATGGTACAATATCCGCAAATCAATAAACGTGATACATCACATAAACAAATTGAAAGATAAAAATCATATAGTCATATCACTTGACGCAGAAAAAGCATTTGATAAAATCCAACACCCCTTCCTGATAAAAACTCTTAACAAGGTGGGAGTACAAGGATCATACCTCAACATAATAAAAGCTATATATGATAAACCCACAGCCAACATTATACTCAATGGGCAGAAACTAAAACCATTCCCTCTAAGAACAGGAACAAGACAGGGATGCCCACTCTCGCCACTCCTGTTTGACATAGTTCTGGAAGTACTAGCCATTGCAATTAGACAAGAGGAGGAAATAAAAGGCATCCAAATTGGAAAAGAAGAAGTAAAGTTATCCTTATTTGCAGATGACATGATATTGTACATAAAAAACCCAAAAGACTCCATTAAAAAACTAATTGACTTAATAAATGAATTTGGCAACGTAGCAGGATACAAAATTAATGCCAAGAAATCCATGGCATTTTTATACACCAACAGCGAAACTACAGAAACAGAGGCTAAAAAAACAATTCCATTTACCATCGCACCAAAAAAATTAAGATACCTAGGAATAAATTTAACTAAGGAAGTAAAGGACCTATATGCAGAAAACTACACGACACTGAAAAAAGAGATAGAGGAAGATGTAAGGAGATGGAAGAACATACCATGTTCATGGATTGGTAGAATCAACATCATCAAAATGTCCATACTTCCTAAAGCAATCTATAAGTTCAATGCACTCCCCATTAAAATACCAACGACATATTTCACTGACCTAGAAAGAACTCTCCAAAAGTTCATTTGGAACAATAAAAGACCCCGAATAGCCACAGCAATCCTGAGAAAGAAGAGTAAAGTAGGAGGGATCTCAATACCAGACTTCAAACTATATTACAAAGCCACTGTTCTCAAAACAGCCTGGTACTGGCACAAAAACAGACATATAGATCAATGGAATCGAATCGAGAACCCAGATATCAACCCAAATCACTATGCTCAATTAATATTTGACAAAGGAGGCACGAATATACAATGGAGTCAAGACAGTCTCTTCAATAAATGGTGTTGGGAAAATTGGACAGACACATGCAAAAGAATGAAACTAGATCACCAACTTACACCATTCACAAAAATAAACTCAAAATGGATACAGGACTTAAACATCAGGCGGGAAACCATAAAAATACTAGAAACATCCACAGGCAGCAAAATCTCCGACGTATGCCAAAAGAACTTCTTCACTGATACTGCCCCTAGGGCAATGGAAGCTAAAGAGAAAATAAACAAATGGGACTACATCAAAATAAAAAGCTTTCTTACAGCAAAAGAAACCATCAACAAAACAACAAGAAAGCCCACAGTATGGGAGAACATATTTGCAAATAATACCACTGATAAAGGTTTAATCTCCAACATCTACAGACAGCTTATACAAATAAATAAAAGGAAGATGATTGATCCAATTAAAAAATGGGCAATGGACCTAAATAGAATATTTACAAAAGAAGACAGAAGGAAGGCCAAAAGGCACATGAAAACATGCTCAAAGTCACTAATTGTCCGAGAGATGCAAATCAAAACAACAATGCGCTACCATCTCACACCTGTCAGAATGGCCAACATCAACAAATCAACAAACAACAAGTGTTGGCGAGGTTGTGGAGAAAAAGGAACCCTCGTGCACTGCTGGTGGGAATGCAGACTGGTGCAACCACTGTGGAGAACAGTGTGGAGTTTCCTCAAAAAACTGAAAATGGAACTCCCATTTGACCCAGTAATCCCACTTCTAGGAATATACCCCAAGAAACTAGAAACACCAATCAGAAAGGATATTTGCACCCCTATGTTCATAGCAGCACAATCTACAATAGCCAGAATTTGGAAACAGCCTAGGTGTCCGTCAGCAGATGATTGGATCCAAAAACTTTGGTACATCTACACAATGGAATACTATGCTGCCATAAAAAAGAAGGAATTCTCATCATTTGCAGCAACCTGGATGGAATTGGAGAACATCATGCTGAGTGAAATAAGCCAATCAATGAAAGAGAAATACCACATGACCTCACTCATTGGTGGACAATAAAGCTCTTTATGAACTGATGAACCAAGAGACAGAGATAGAGAAAGTAAAGCAACAGGCAGACTGTCAAATTACAGTGGGGAGGGGAGGAAGATCTGGGGGAAATAATTGATCAAACGAAGGACTTGTATACATGCATATAAGTACAACCAATGTTCATAAAACTCTGGGGAGGGAGGGGATGGGTGGGAGGGAGGGAGGGGGGTAAAAAAAATCAATAAAATATGTAAAAAAAAATCAATAAAATATGAAAAAATAAAAATAAAAAATAAAAGACCCTTTAACATTTTAAAAAAATAAAAAAATAAATAAAATAAAAGTAAGCATCTTTTTAGTAACATAAAGTCAAAATGTTAATTTCATATAATTACTTTCATATGAAATCACCATTTTGCTTTCACTTCCCAAGAGATGCTCTGAATCTCAGGGCTGTGATGCTCACAGCCACCTCCCTCCCTGCACCTCCCAAGTCCCAGCCTGAAACTGCAACTCCGCTTCCTCTTAATGCTTTGCTATTCATTGTCTTAAACTCAGTATGTTTTACAATTATGCCCACAATCTCTGTCAAACTAAAAAAGGGGGAAGAGTGTGACAGTGGGAGTGGTGGTCCTTTTTTACTTTTTATCTGACAAAAACACTAAAATTATCTCTATTTCCTTCCCTTTGTCCTCACATCCAAACAGGTCAATTGCTTTAAATATTTGTTGACTCCTCCCTTTATATTTATTCCTCTGACACCATTCTAGTTCTAATCCTTTACACTCAAGTCCACACTACTACAATAGCCTAACAGTAAGTGTACCACTCTAAGCCTCTTTTCATTAAAATCCTTTCACAGATCTCAAATTTCATTAGTCATAACCTTAAAAACTTCAACTGGATCTCTATAGTTAGAGCCATTATTCTCAGCCTTTTCCCCAACCCCCATTGCTCCTGAGAGAGGAAGCACTCTCCCACTGACAGCTGATTATCAGCGGCTGGAGAAGAGGGGCAGCTAAGAATGGCAAGGCCCGCCCACGCTCCTGCGTAAGTGCACAGTGTGCCTGTGTGTGAGGATGGGACAATTGCCACAGGGAATCAGAGTAATTGGTAGTTTGGAAAAGCCCTCTGAGCACTGTGTTGTGCCATCCACCAAGTTCAGGAGGCTCAGTCTAATGTCCAAGGCTCCAGAGGTGGGCTGCACTTCCCTCTGCCTCCTTGCAGCCCGCCTCGCCTCCCACAGCTCCAGTGCACGCAGGCTCTCCCTCAGGCCCCCGCTTACCCTCAAGTTTCCCCTCATTGTGCTTTCAGTGCCATCATATTCTTGATGAATAACTTATACTCTTCTAAATACCTGTCAGAGTTTTATCCCTCCGTGAAGGCTTTAATCACCTCTCTCTCATTTTCTGTTGTCTCCTGCCCTTGTCCCCCTGACCAGGTCACTTTGGACATCTCTGTATGTTTAGTACTTAAAAAGATGGGCAATGTTCCAATTAACTTCCCAACTAGACTGTAAAATTCTTCCAAGAAAAGTCCGATTATACTTCTTTGGATTCTCCCTAAATGACTGTGTAGTACATTATACAGCTCTGGTACTTACTAAGAATCTGTGTTAACTTAGGAATAAAGCTTACAGTTCCTCAGTGCGTCCAACGCCCACCGCTCTTCCGAGACAGGCAAGTGTAAGTCTGGGATTGTGATGTGATCATTTACTCCTGCTTCCTTGACAGCTCCCTCTGCATGCTGTTCCTGGGCAAACCGCCTCTCGGCCACAGAGAGTTCGTCAGCCTCTGCTTTCCCAGAAGTACCCAGTGTATGAGACTGAGGTTTTGATGATATTAAGGGAGATTCTAATCCCAAATCTCTGTCTGTTAAATGAAACAGGAAAAGGAAAATATATCTTTCAATATTTAACAGGAAGCATTCAGGAAACACTTGGAAAAAATTATCATATGAACTACTGAGATTGTCTAAACACAGTCAGAGCAGTGTTACAATGGCCCACGGAAGGCTCAATAGCAAAGTTTGTTAAAATGAAAAACTGACACCCAAACTGACGCCTAAAACAAAAAGAGTTTAAGTTTATATTTTTATTGATTTCAGAGAGGAAGGGAGAGGGAGAGAGAAACATCAATGACGAGAGAGAATCATGGATCAGCTGCCTCCTACAAGCCCCCCACTGAGGATCGAGCCTGCAGCCCAGGCCTGTGCCCTCACTGGAATCAAACCGTGACCTTCTGGTTCATAGGTTGATGCTCATTCACTGAGCCACGCGGCCGGACGGTTTCTGTGCATTTTAATAAGCAATATGTGGACTACATTCTTCCAAGGAAACTAGCAGGTGGGTTTACCTGGACTCTGCAGATCAGCAGCGGATATGCCTTGATGCTCCGCTTTTAACTTGGGAGGCTTGCCATCCTCACTGTCTCCTCTGAAGAAGAAAGAAGACAATCTTTAGACGTCACAAGCGCCTACATATCACGCAACAAAATGCAAACATTACCTACTCCTCTTCCGACCAAAAGAAAACAAAGATATCCTCAGACAGGCCCAGGCACACTCACTCGCCAGGTGGTGGCTGCGGCAGGGGGATTGGCTTTGTGGACGGCTCCTTCACCGATGCGGCCATCCGACAGATTAGGTCCTGCCAGCTGTGGGGTTTTCACAAGAATAAAAAAGGGGAGGAAAAAGAGAGGGCCTTTAAATACACTGAGAACACAAAAATAAAAACAAAACAAACAAACATAACCAGAAACCAAAACCAACCAGAAACCTGCTTTTGACAGAGATGGCATTTATGTTGACAACTGCTATTAAGCAGAGATTATAACTGTGCACTTTAAGGAAAAACCTTAACAATATAATGAACACACTGCCCATTAAAACGCTTCCTATGACCCCTCTGCATTTTTTTCTTTGGAAAATATACTTTCAGAATCAAAATAAGGAACATCAATATAAAAAGTAACACCTTCTTAGAAGAACATCTAAAAGAATATAGAGGAATTGCTTGATTTTTGATTTTCAAAGTTGTCCTGCAGAAACAATGTTCTGTTTGTGAAAGATTATAGTCAGGACATTGAAAACATCAGAGCACATGGGGGTGGGGGCACAAAGGGTAAAGGGGGCCAAGTACATGGTGGTGGAGATTGCTTTGAGTAGGAAACACACAATACGACATATAGACAATGTATCACAGAATTATATACTTGAAACCTATATAATTTCATTAGCTAATGTCACCCCAATAGATTTAATTTAAAAAGTTACAGAAACAGCGATGTTTAATACGTACACAGTCTTTTCCGAAACTGTCTGTGCCACCAGCTCATAGATTTGGGCTCCATTGTCTGACATGGAAATGACGAAAAAAGCTTTGTTATCTAGAAAAAAAGAAAAGAAAAAAAATGACTCACAGAGGCCATTCTTAGGGCCCTGGTATTATTTTGCATCTTAGTCCAGCTAAAGGTTACATGTGTTCACTTTGTAAACATGTGTTTACTTTGTAAAAATTCACTGAGTTACACACTTAAACTTTGTACAACAGGCTGTGTAGTCTACTGTGTTTTTTTATACTGCTGGAAACCAAAGATTATAAAAACTAGCACTGATTCCACAGTAACTAATATAAACAAAAAGCCTAAGTGCCTAAATTTACTCTGCCATCATGGAACTAAGGAGTTTTAAAAGGAATCTCATTGTCAGTATCATTAATATACTAGTTGTCTGGTGCACGAAATTCATGCATGGAGAGGGTGGTTCCCTCAGCCCAGCCTGCACCCTCTCCAATTGGAAACCCCGTGGGGGATGTCTGACTGCTGGTTTAGGCCCAATCCCAAACTGGCAGTCAGACATCCCTCTCTCAACCTGGGACTGCTGGCTCCTAACTGCTCACCTGCCTGCCTGATTGCCCCTAACTACCTCTACCTGCCTGCCTGATTGCTCCCAACTGCCCTCCTCTGCCAGCCTGATCTCGCCCCCAACTGCCCTCTCTTGCTGGCCTGGTTGTCCCCAACTGCTCTCCTTTGCCAGCCTGGTTGCCCCCAACTGCCCTCCCCTGTTAGCCAGGTTGCCCCCAACTTCCCTCCCATGCAGGCTGATCTCACCCACAACTGCCCTAGTCTACTGGCCGATTTGGTTCTGATTGGTCAGTTTCTATGCCAGTCAGTGTCAAAGCTCCAACTCCTAGGCAGCCATTGGTTCCTCACACTTCACCCAGATTTGGTTCTGATTGGTCAGTTTCTATGCCAGTCAGTGTCTCTGGGCCTTTCAACAGGGCCTGATCAGAAAGACAGTGGAGGCCTAGAGAGAAATGGAGGTGAGGCTGCTGGCCAGACTGGGAGAGAGAAAGGCAAGTCCTGATCAAAAGCTGCCACAGAGGCAATGGATCATTTTCTGCTTCTCTCTTCAAACCTCTCTCTGGCTCTAATTCGAAGCCCCCTCAGCAGTCAGTGCTGGAGCACCCTGCAGGACTGACTTCCCGTTGGTCGAGCCTCAGTCATTACCGGATGTTACGACCCAGGGTTTTTATATATTAGGATAATTTACTAACTTAAACCGATTTAAAAAACCTAAACTACACCCAACTCTTAAGGTTTTGCCCCTTTTCCCCACCAAATCAAAAAACATACCACTCAAATGAAAGCCTTTTGTCTACCAATGATTTGAACATGGAAGAAATACCAAATATGCAGAAAATTTTCAAATGCAAAAAATTGCTCAGAGAGTCTTGGTGTCCTAATTTGGGAGTATAAACTCTCAATCCACTTTCCAAGTAAGTAATTTTCATTTAATTTGCATAAGAATATGAAAAGGCCAAAACTTTATGCCAGTTGTTCTATTTAAATAATACTAAATATCTTATGCAACTTTACTATGAACCTGAAGGTTAGCAACACTCAGCAGACATGCTCACCTGTTGCCACTTGTCGAACTAACACTGTATTCAACTTAATGACAGGGCTAAATGTGTGCTTGCTATCAGCTGTGGATGCCAGAATCTTACTGTGACATCTTAACACCAGCCTATCATCCTGCTTTTGTAACAATACAAGGATGTCTTCCAGCAGCAATGTATACAGATCTAGAGAGAAAAACACAGGGAAAGGTGATCAGTACAGAAATTTTAAATTTCATAAAATTCTACAGAGAAATTTTATATAAAAAATGGACTCCATTTCCCTTAAGTATCAGCCTGACAAAAAAAAAAAAAAAAAAAAAAAAAATGACAGCTGTAGCCTTGTGATCCAAAAGCCTAGACTCAACGCAGATGCCAGAATGATGGGAAACAGGACTGAGGCATGACAGTGTCCTGCCTCACCCCCACACGAACAAGTAGCAACTTCACAGATAACAAAACCACAGAAGCACATCTCCTGTAAGGCATGAATAACACAGAGTAGCAATGCTAACTGCTGTAACTGAAAATTGTGAATGGTTCTCTCTTCTTCTATGAAGCGTCCCTATTATTTTCCTTTCTTCACTCTCCCCAAAACTGACAGACATTAGACCTACCAATAGTTTTATCTCTATTCACCTTCCAAACCAAGGGTCCTTCATGAATCATCTTCCTTTTTGTTAAATCCAAATTCTGTCAAAATAAAGAGAATTATACAGAAATTATTTCTAAGTACTTAGTGAGATAATATTTTAGTTTCTTTTCAAGAAATTCTTAATATAAAAATACCACTTACATTCACCATTATTGATATGTCAACTATTGAAAATGAAATAAAAAGTTAAAGTAAGCTGCATAAAATTTTCTACCAAGGAAAGGCATCTTAAAAAACACTCAGAAGCACTGCCTTCTAAACCTCTCTGTGAACAGATGACCTCACTTAGGAAAGTGAAGCTGTGAGCATTGAGCTGTCAGATCCTCACCATCCCTGCATCTTCCACCAAAAACCAGATGCGGATATTGCTAAGCTGGTTTGTAAGAGGCCTCTGTGTCCCCGGCTCTGGTGGCAAGGGGAGTCTAAGGCAGCACGTAGGGAGAGCTCAGGCTCTAGGGAGTAATGACATGGTCGAGAGTCATCATTAGCATCAACAGCTCTCGAAAAACCCTGTTCTCTGGCTGGGCTTCGCACATCAGCATGCTTGTTGATAAGCTGCTTCATATGACAAAAGTTTTAATAGCCACCAAATTAATCTGACAAAACAATCAACAGTGAAACAGTGTAAGAAAGATTTAAACCTAAATAGTGACTAATAAAAAAGCCTCATGTACCAGAAGTGATAATTAATATTTCACTATCATTGCATAAATAACATTAACTTAATAAGTAATGTCTTTTCATCTCTTGCAAATTTCTATGAAAAAAAGTTAATCTCACAGAAAACATTCCTTTAGTGAAAGACTAAATGAAGGAGCCCCATAGGGATGTGACATTTAAAAGCAAGAGCTGAGCCACAATGCTCCCTCGGAGCCATCATTTCCTGCAGTGTCATCAGGCATTTTATGGCTAAAGTCATTGTTGGACCATTTCTCACCCTGAGCTCCTCAACGTCTGGGTATTCGGACAGCTTCAGGTTGGAAGTGTCAAGGCGACGCTGATAATCCTCTAAACGCTGAGAATCAGACAGGACAGAGCACAGGTTACTGTTGCGGAGGTAAAGCCTCACTGCTCCTAAGTTTAACGGCACTGAACTGAGCTCTGTGCGACACTAGACAGAACGGACGCTCGATCTTCCTCCGAGTTCTCCCTGGGCTGTGAGCGCTCTCCTAGTTCTCATCTTACCTCTGGCTGCTCTTCAATCTTTTCGGACTTACAAGCTTGTATTTATTTGCTGAACATGTAAATCATGTACATGGTACACAATTCAGAATGTGCTACAAGGCACACAGTAAAAAGTAGGTCTCCCCCGCCCTGTTCTCTTCACTCTCCACCCAATGTTCTCTAAAGAAATACCCATTTCCTGGGGAGCCTATGAGAAAAATTCTAAGCAAATAGAATATATGTGTATGCCTGTCTCTGTACATGCTGTGTGTATATATCCTTCAACAAAAAGGACATGGTAGCATAACATATTTATATACACATTTTTCTATAAATGCATACCACTCATCAATGTATCTTGGAGACTGTTCCACATTAGCACATATAGAAAAAGCAGTCTCATATTTTTAGTGGCTACATGGTATTCAACTCTGAATGAACTATAGTTCATTACTGATGGAAATGTAGGTTACTTATAATCTTATAACAAACAATACTGCAATAAAATGGCCTTAAATGTATACCTCAGTCCACATGTGTAGATACAACTATAGAATAAATTTCTAAAGGAAGAACTGTTAGCTCAAAGAGTACGTGTATTTTCCCCAAGATTATAAAAATTCCCAAATGCACAGAACAGTTTTAATGTGTGCAGTGATTACCTAGATACCTTCCACCTCCATTCTATAATTAATACTTGCTTTTGTCATATATCCATCCTTCTAGTCATCCTCACCCCTCTATCCATTAATCCACTTTGTATTTTGTATGCATCTCAAAATAAACTGCAGACATAGCACACTTTACTTCTAATCATTTTAGCATCCCTGGAATAAACAAGAGTTTAATATTTCTTTACAATTCTTTTTATAAACTAAAATCTACAAGCAGTGACATGCACACATCTTAAATGTAGCTTTCTGTAAGTTTTTATGAATGCAAATGTACCTGAGCAAACTCCTATCAAGTTATAAAATACCATCACTCTCATACTTTTTCCTAATTAGTATCTGTCCCCGCATTCCCAGGGACAACCACCTTTCTGACTTTTTTCCCCCACTGATTACTTTACCCTTTTCTGGAAGATTACATACACAGAATTATAATTATATACTCTTCTTTTTTAATCCTTATCCAAGGATATGTTTTTATTGGTTTTAGATAGAAAGAGGAAGAAGGGTGGGTGTGGGAGGGAGGGAGAGAGGGAGAGAAGGAAAGAGGGAGAGGGAGGGAGGGAGAGAGGTAGAGAAGGAGAGAAGGAGAGAGAGAGAGGGAGAGAGAGAGAGAGAGAGAGAGAGAGAGAGAGAGAGAGAGAGAGAGAGAGAGATATCATTGTGAGAAAGATCCATCAGTTGCCTCCCATACTCGCCCCAACCAGGGAATGAACCCACAATCTAGATCAGCAATCGAACCTGCAACCTTTTGGCGTGTGTGATACCCTAAACAAGTAACTGTCTGTGTACACCCTTTTGTGTCTCGATTCTTTCTCTGAAATGTTTGTGAGATTCATCCTAGTTTCCTTTTTATTGCTAGTATTATTCTCTTTTATGATTACACCACATTTGGGTTATGTTGTTATAAGTCTCTGGGCATAACTTAATTTCTCTTAGGTAAATAATTAGGAAAAGAATGGCTGGGTCAAAGGATGTATGAATATGTATATTTTTAACTTACATAAAGATTGCCCTCTGGAATTTAATCATTTTATACTCTAAGCATACACTGGTAAGTTCCCATTTTTATATTGCCTCACCAATAGAGTCATCATCATACTCGGTTCTTAAAAATTACATCCAGATCTACGGACTCAGGAGGCCTCTGTGTGCTTGTGTTTTATTTTCAGTCCAGTGCGCTGAGAGTTGGGCCCATGAAGCTAACTGCTTACTGTGCATTTTCCCTGAGGTCACAAATGAACTCAATCTTCCTCACAAATGTGGGGCTTCTCCACTCATCCTGTGCACCCAAATATGCAAATCAGAGACCTGATGTTCTCTCTCTTCAAATCCTTCTCTAAATGAAGCAATGCATCCCATCAATTCCATCATCTGGACATTTCTCCAAACCTAGCACCCTTGGAGCACCAGTGTTGTCCTGGCTGCTGAGACCAGTGAGCTCTTGCATCCGTTCTCGTCCCTCTTCAGTCTTCTCTCCAGAGTAGATGTCTGATACTTATAAAGTGAACACCCGATTACACCTCTCTTCATCTTGAATGTCTATAACGAAGCCCTATTGCTCTGAGAATAAAAACATTTTTTAAATATGGTCTATAGCAAGCATGTCAAACTCGCAGCCAGTGGGCCGCGAGTTTGATATGCTTGGTACAGGGCCCTGTATGATGTGGCCCTACCCTACTGTACTTCATTTCATAACACTATGACCTTGCGTTTCAGCATGACAAACATGCTAATCTCATCTTTCAGTTCCTCAAACAGATCATGCTTTTAAAAAAAAAGTTTTGTTTTTGTTTTGGAGAGAAAGGGAAGGGAGAGGGAGAGGGAGAAACATTCATGAGAGAAAAACACAGACCCAGCCTGCAGTCCCGGGTATGTACCCTGACTGGGAATCCATCTAGTGACCTACACTCCTCGCATCCTGAAATCCTCCTTCATAGAAGCTGTCAACAATAACATAAAACACTTGTGTTTGAATCTGCTCACTGACACTCTCTCCTACTGGAAGAGAAGCTCAGTGTGGGCCAGCATGTGCCCTCCACTCAGCACACCGCACCACAGACGCTCCAGTCACTGAACCAATGCCTGAAAGAGCAAACACGCAGCTGGAGATGCTCAGTCAACTAAAACGCTGGCGCTCTGTCCCAAAGGGACGCAGACCCACCTATGATGTGCACACTTAATGAACGTCCACCCTGCAGTGATGCAATGATGCTTCCAATGATTACTTCACAGATTCCAGGTGATGCTAACTTAATATTCTCACTATGCCATCCTGTGTCTTTTTGCTTTTCCCTTCTTACCTGCTTGTTTTCTGCCTCCTTGACGGCCTGATTTACATAATTTAAGATCTGACGACAGTGATCGGCTGCTTTCTTCACCTTCTCCCTTTCTGCTGGCCACTCTAGACAAGGGCAAAAAGCCAAATGTGAACGGAGGAAATCAGAAAAAAGTATCCATATCTATGCCTAAGCAACCATTTCAGCAGAGTGACCGGTTGCTATGACGCACACTGACCAACAGGGGGAGATGCTCAATGCAGGAGCTAGCCTCAGCCCACAGGCCCCAATCACCCAATCAGGGCTGGACCCCGGGCTGGGACAGGGAAACAAGAGTGGGTGGCGCCGGATGTGGCCCCTTTCTCAGGGGGCCTGAGGGCCAGCAGCCAATCTTCTGGGTCCCTCCCCCTGTCAGGCAGGTCCTAATAGCCCTGCTGCCTGCTTGCTGTGGTTGGCCCTTCCCTCCTGCTCCCCCAGCCAGCAGGACCTGATAGCCTGATCGGGACCTGCTGGCAAACCTCCTGGGGCCCTCCCCTCAGCTGGCAGGTCCCAACCACCTGATCAGGGCCAGACCCTGGGCTGGGATGGGGAACTGGGAGTGGTGTCAGTGGACATGGGTGGTGAGGGAAGGAGGAAGAGGGGGAGGCGGGATACCTGATAGGCCCTGGTCACTGAACAGGCCTATGGACCACACCCATGCACGAATTTCATGCACTGATTCTCTAGTATATTATCCTGTGTAATAAAAAGGTAACATGCTAATTTACTGTCACACCCTTACAAAAGATGGTGTGCCCATAGTCAATAAGGAGGAAATATGCTAAGTGACTGTCATGCCCTCAAAGATGACAGCACCCACAGTCACAAGATGGCAGCACTCAGTCTTCTCAGCCCCCTAAGGCCGGCCTGAGGCACAGGAAAGCCTCAGATGTTGGCTTCTTGGTGCCAGCCTGAGGCACAGGCAAGCCTAGGATAGCGGCTGCCCAGCTGCCCAGGGCCACCTGAGGCTCAGGTAACCAGGGCCAGCCAAGGCTTGCACTGCCAGTAATGGCAGCAGCAGAAGTGTGATGGGGTATTGCCCACCCCTGAGGGCTCCAAGACTCTGAGAGGGGGCAGGCCAGGCTGAGGGACCCTCCCCTTCCAATGCACAAATTCTCATGCACCGGGCCTCTAGTATACATATAATTATCATTTTATTTGAACAACTACCAAGCTTTAATAAAACCTTGAATAATCTTATAGCAGGCTGAACCTATGTCCGAATCTCAGTTCAGGTGGTGTTTGGACAGGTGAAACTTCTTATGACAGCACTTTAAAACAGAAATACTCATCTTTAAAAAGAAACCATAGTACAGAGCACCAAGCTCTAGGAGAGATGCTTTACATCAAGTATCAAGCCCACTGTGTTACACACCCCAGAGAGTGAGTCTCCTTCAGAGCGTAAGCAATATACATGAACAGCCATGTTGGTTCTGTCCAGTGCACTTGCTACTATTTTTTAATAATAATACTATCTACATATATAAAAGTCTAAGCAACTGTGTGACTGGTAGCTATGATGTGAACTGACCACCAGGGGGCAGATACTCAATGCAGGAGCTGCTGAGCTTGGTGACTTGGCAGCTGCAGTTCTATGTGACGCACCCAGAACCAGAGAGGAGGGAGCCCGGTTCTAGGATGCGTCACCTGAGAACAGCCCTCTTGCAACCCTGGGCCAACTCGGGGAACGTCGGAGAGATGGTTTCGGCCCGATCCCCACAGGCCAGGTCAAGGGACTCCACCTGTGCACAAATCTGTGCACTGCGTTCTAGTTCAAAATAACTCCAAAATAAATTTCATTGAATTTGAGATTATATTTAAAGAAAGAAAATAGATGAGAATATTCATATCACTAAAAGAGGGTTAATTTCACCACAATGTGGTGAGGTTACACTGAGGTCTACAATGTAAAAACCAAAACAGCATATTCAAAATTACAATCTTCCAAACAGTCCAACTATAATGAGAAGATATATTCAAGTATAAAAAAATAACGTGTTTTCAAATTTTCCAACATAAGAAATAGGAGATTATTAATGAAAACTAAGTATAAGAGCCTAAAGCTCAACTGACAAACTTAGATTTACTACATGTTTTAAAACAGGAGAGTTGGAACTATAATGCACTGATCAGTTGGGTTTCAATAAAGTTCATACATAGATATAAAATATCTCTTCAATCCAGTATAAGTCTCTTCACAGGAAATGTGACGTATACTAGAGGGAGGACAGGTGAACGTTGTCTGTAAAGGGCTGGTAGTAAATACTTTTTATTTCTCAGGACAGGTGGTCTGTGTCACACTTGCTCAGCTCTGCGGTCACAGGGCCAAGGCAGGCAGACGATGGTCAGCAATGAGCATGACTCTGCCCCAACACCTTACAAAGATGGGGTGAGCCATAGATTGCCAAGCCCTGTGCTGGGCCCCTTGATGGAGACATTACATCAAATATCCCGAGAGTGGACTGAATCTTATTAAAACATTTGCTCTAGGATTTGGAAACCTGCAGGCACCAGAATGCTGAGAGAAGTTTGTAGTTTTGTTGCTAAGCTGTTGAATTTCCACGAATGCTGCACCTGTGTACTTGGCAATGTTGTCCAAGAGGAGAGGGTACTTGGTGAGCCTCTGCATCTGGGTGGGAATGATGTCCTTCAGTTGCAGGCGCCGGCACAGAGGGTTACTCTCAGCGTCCTATATGAAAGTGTAGGGGGAATTGTTCCTGGTTATTAGAACGCCTATCATGGACTATATGTTCATTACTTAAGTGTCTATAGCATCACAGCCCTGGTAATTATATAAAACTTATCACATGCTAAGACATAAAACTGCCACACTATACTTCTGTTTCTCTTTTTATCACTAGACCAATGGTTTCTTTATCTGTTTAAATAACAACTTAGATAACAACATCTCCATGGCAATGTGAATGTCTATGTCAAGTATTTTAATCATGAATATACTCTTTACTTTTCACCACCCCAAGATCATCTTTCTACCATCAATAATTAAAGAGGGCAGTTATAGCTTTAAAAAACTCTTTTATATATATATATTTTATTGATTTTATACAGAGAGGAAGGGAGAGAGATAGAGAGTTAGAAACATCGATGAGAGAGTCATCGATCAGCTGCCTCTTGCACACCCCCTACCGGGGATATGCCCGCAACCAAGGTACATGCCCTTGACCGGAATCGAACTCGGGACCCTTCAGTCTCCAAGCCCACGCTCTATCCATTGAGCCAAACCGGTCCTGGCAGCTTTAAAAAACTTTAACACAGTTATAATCCTTATGAAAGACAGGCTTAGAATCTACAACTGGTAAAATTATTTTTTCTCTCACATGACACCCTCAACTCACCTGCACAAAAGTCTGGAACCGAGAGTCTTTCTTTTGACGAGATTTGATCATTTCCAGAGCGAAGGGCTGGTTGCTGCAGAAGGTGGCGGCGGCGTGCTTCAGTTTCTCCTCCCCCGGCCCACTGAACTGCATGAGACCAAGAACCGACTGATAGTGAGCTGACAGCAGGCCAGACACCATGCCAGAGGACACAAGCCTTCAGGTATTTCAGTAAATATTCTCAGAAGACAAGAAACAAAGAACTTCACGTGCATGTGGAATATCCATGCTTCTCTATGAAAACTTCTGATCTTGACATGGCCAAAACTTTCCTAATTATGTCCTACTGGTTCTTCCTGTAGCCTTCACACTTACTCCCTTTCCGGGAGTAACAAAAAGCTAACAGGGCCTGGGCACCAATGAAGCCTTTCCACTAGAGCAATATTTCCCAAACTTTTGACATATGTGTACACCTTCTATAATTTTCGTAATGCTGAGTACCCCTCGTACTCATGAGAACGTAGAAGTAGGCGCAGCTAAGCACAGTGCAGTGCATATCCCCACCAAACTTCGGTGCAATGCAGACCCCCACCAAACTCTTCCCGTGCCCCTGGGGGTACGCGTACCACACTTTGGGAAACACTGCACTAGAGAATGGCTCTCCGCCTGGCCCCCTATGATTTCCAAATTCATATTTCTTATCTAGTCTCTTCATTTGTGCATGGCCCTTTTCCAGATCCTGAATCCTAGCCGATGGCGGCTTTCACCTCGAACGACGGACACCTTGAGAAGAAGATTCACCAGAGTGAAAAAAGTAGTTCACAGGAAAGGTGGGAAGAATCAACGAAAATGTGAGAAAAAATTGGCCACGTACAAAGCCTATGCCAGCTTCAGAAGTCAAGATCTGTAAGTGGTGGGAAAGTCTTTTTTAGCCAGGCTAATGGAGCAGAATTTGAGTAAAGAGGAGAAACTTTATTTTAGGCTTTTGGCTTGCAAGCTCCAGGATAAAAGAATTAAAGTGTCAGAAGGTATTCTCTTACAGTTTTTGCATATTATTATAGGACAGAATCCTTAGTTCCCTGAAGAGAGTACATTAGATGTCGAATGTTGGGAAAGAGTGGTTCATAACTTGAAAAAAGCTCAGCAGCAGGGGAAAAACTTGCCTCCAAATTGTTTTTCCTTGTATTGCATTTGCTAGAGCCTTTTAGAGAAACAAAAGAGGATAAACCTCCTCCCCTTGCACCTTCTGCTCCTAAAGAGGAACAAAAAGAAAAATTGGACAAGTGGCCTTTATGCCTCCCTCTACCTCCATGTCCTGATCCTGAAATATTTAATTCACCACGAGAACCACCTGTGCAAAGAGCTTTCTAAGAAGGATTAGAGGACATGATGGTGGAGCATGGACTTGCTTTTCCTATTATACAGGTAGCTGATCCACAGCTCCCAAATCAAATAACAAGATAACATGACAAATTTGACTTTAAAATGATAACGGCCTTGCATGAGAATGTAGTACAAAATGGTCTCACCACTCCTTTTACCGGAGAAATTATAACTCTCATTTATTAAATCTTGTCTATGTGTTAATAGCACTTGTCTGTTGATTATTGTTTTATCTGTCTTTATTGTTTATTGTTAGTTTATTGTGACTTTAATAGAAAATAGTACTTTAACATTAAAGCCACTGAAAGGCAGTAAGTTATCTCTATTACAAAATTTGCCAAAAGAAAATGCCTTGGATAATAATAATTGGCTTTAAAATCTCAAAGTTGTTCAAACATAAATAAATGTAACTAAAATGAAGAATTTGTGGTGAAGCTTTTCAGTAATACTTATAAATATATTAATGATGAAGGGCTAGTCGCTCTTTTCCTTGTAAAAGCAGGAGCAACCTTAGATGTTATCTCTAAGGAAGAATGTCACAGTTTTAAAATTCAAGTAGCTATGGCTCCAGGCCTGCTCCTTCCTCCCCCTGCCTTTTTGCCAGAAACATAGTTTTCCAAAGTCTTTGGTGACTTAAAACTTTAGAATGTCACTGAACTAAATAACAAGAATGATTAAATATCTAGGTATTTTAAAATGACAAAAATACTGAAATATTAATCTGAGTTTGCCTCATATGAAAAACCAAGAGAATAGAATTGAATCTATTAATTAAATATGTCTTCTACTTTACTGGAAATATATTCTTAAAAATGTAAAAGCATTACTAACCTTAGAAATGTTAAGTATTTAACTTGCCACCTAAAACTTGAGGCTTCTAAAGTTTAAAGTTCAAAGTATGTTGGGGAAAATTATATGATTATAATAACAAAATGCATAAAGTATAGAAATTCTCTGGAGAAGTTAATAGTTCAAAATATATTGTAGTCCTTATGTGTACTACATGTGGTAAAATTTCAACCTAGGATATAATATTTTATAGGCTTAATTAAAAAGGATTAATTCTATGATCTGAACCAAATATTTAATATCAATTTTTAAATATTAAAACTGGTTTAAATTTAATTGATATCTTTTAGAATAATTACAAAAGGTGTGTTAATAAATGTCAATCTAAGAAATACTGGCTGTTTAATTTTAATTATCATTGGAAAATTAAGGTTTAAATACTGTATAGTTTTAATAATAGAAGGCAGGACATACATTTTAAAGGAAAAGAAGGAGAAAGTTCTATACAAATAGCTAAAGGTATATACACATTAATGACAGAAAGAATATTTAGTAAAATGAATTTTTATAGGACATAAAAAGGTTTGAAGACTAATTTGAAAGTATGAAATTTATGAATATTATATATATATAACTAGAGGTCTGGTGCATAAAATTCATGAACAGGAAGGGATGTCCCTCAGCCCAGCCTGCACCCTCTCCAATCTGAGACCCCTCGAGGGTTGTCTGACTGTCAGTTTAGGCCCAATACTGGTGGGACTGCTGGCTCCCAACTGCTTGCCCCGCCTGCCTGATTGCCCCTAACCCCTTCTTCCTGCCAGCCTGATCATCCCCTAACCACTCCCGTCAGGCTGATCGATGCCTACCTGCTCCCTTGCTGGCCCAATTGCCCCCAACTGCCCTCCCCTGTAGGCCTGGTCACTCCTAACTGTCCTCCCCTGCAGGCCTGGTCACCCTACCTGCTCTCCCTTGCAGGCCTGGGTTCCTCACATTTGCTCTCCCCTGCTGGCCTGATCACCCACAACTTCCCTCCCCTGCCAGCCATCTTGTGGCAGCCATCTGGTGCCTACATGGGGGCAGCCATCTTGTGTATTGGAGTGAGTCAATTTGCATATTACTCGATTATTAGATAGGATGAGAAAGAAAATAGTTTTGAAAGAGAGAAATGAATATTAAAGTTAACTATTTGCAAAAGTTATAAAAGGGTCATAGAATATCAGGGAAGTTTAAACAAAGGCTAGTAAAGTCCAAAGTAAAATTTGCGTACGTATGCAAAGAGCACTAGCCAAAAAGAATGCCATTTAAAAGTAAAATTTAAGAGAGAAGATCAAGATGGCAACTGGCGGGAAGGTAGGGAAGGAGAGAAATGTGAGAGAGGAGAGTGTGGACGTGTATGGTGTGTGTGTATGAGCTAGGGAAAGTTAGATTCTACAGGTCCTCCAAGGGGCTACCAAACCGGGCAGTCTTAGACGGTGGAGCCCCGAGCACAAAGCTAATCACTCCATCTCATGGTATGGAGAGGGATTTGTTGGATCTCAATTACAACATGACAATTGGCTCTACGAAACACACAATGGAAATTAGCTGCTGAATTTAAATATTCTATATATTATAAAGTTGTATAGTCCTAACTATAGCTCAAATAACTCTATTTCTACCTTATGGGGAACTCCCAATAAGACAGTATTTGCCACTGCTTATGTATTTGATCCTTTTGTACTTCTCTCAGGCCCCATCCAGACGTGCCTTAATACAACAAACCGTCTGTATGAGGTGTCATGCACAGGCTGCACACTATCCCACTGTATTAATTCCACATTCCCAAAAGATTCCCTCATGGTTTTTAAACAACTGGCATTTGCTTAGTTTTATACTCACCTAACCGAACTTTGGGAATCTCATCAAACCTACCAATTGTTACATGACCTGGTAAAAATCTTAAAATGACAAAAAAAGGCTTCTTGGAATGTTAATTACAGACTCTTTGCTCTGGTAGTGTTACTTCTGTAGGAATTACTGCTTCATCCATGATACAATCTGTTTGAACTTCTCAGCTGTGTACAACAAGTTAAGGAAGACGTGACTAAGACCTTGTCTATACAAAAAAGAATTGACAGCGAGTTTGATGTAGAATTATTGGCACTAAAGTCTACAGTCCTGTGGATGGGTGATAAAATCCACATCCTTGAGCAAAGAATGTCCTTACAGTAGCATTATAAATTTTCCCAGATTTGTGTTACCCCCATTCCCTATAATAATACCTCACACCTTTGGGAATCAATTTTAAAAATCACCTTCTTGGTGCTTGGGATAAAGGTAATACAACCCTTGATATTTTAGAATTACAACAGCAATTACAGCAGAAGTACAATTATCGTACAAACAATTCCTTAGATGCCTGACAGCAATTTAAAAAGGACAAGAAAATAATCCCTTCCACGGGGTCTCCTTCCATTTGCCTTTTAGCATAACCACTATTGCCTGTCTCATTATTTTTCTTATATGTTACTAGAGGCCCGGTGCACGGAATTTGTGCATGGGGTTGTATGTGTGTGTGTCCCTCAGCCCAGCCTGCACCCTTTCCAATCTGGGACATTCCTCTCACAATCCAGGACTGCTGGCTCCTAACTGCTTACCTGCCTGCCTGCCTGCCTGATTGTCCCTAACCACTCCTCTGCCAGCCCAGCCCAATTGCCCCTAACTGCACTCCCTTGCTGGCCTGGTTGCCCCTAACTGTGCTCCCCTGCAGGCCTGGTTGCTCCCAATTGCCCTCCCCTGCTGGCCTGGTCACCCCTAACTGCCCTCCCTTGCCTGCTTGGTAGCCTTTAACTGCCCTTCTCTGCAGGCCTGGTCCCCCCAACTTGTCCTCCCCTGCTGGCCTGGTCCCCCTCAACTGCTCTCCCCTAGTTGCCCCCAACTGCCCTCCTAAACCGGTCCGGTCATCCCTAACTGCACTCACCTGCAAGCCCGATTGC